GGATTGAACCGGGGACGGGGGGCCCCACCAGGCCCCAGGGGTTGGCCCACTGCCCCGGGGGACGCCCGCGGGCCTTTCACGGGATTGGAAACGGGGGGGGGGGGGCTCCGGGGGTTCCGGGCGTTCTGCCGGCAACCGAGCATTTGGCCAAGCCAGGGCGATGTATGTCTCTCCCCTGGAAGGGGAGGGAGGGGGCTGGCGCGGGCAACACGGGCCGGGTGCAGCGTCCGGCCACCGCGTGCCGGGAGATTAAGCGCCGCGCGTCTACTGCCGGCTCGCCCAGCAGTACGGCACGAGAACAGGCAGCTGGACGAGCGTGAGGAAGGTGACGGAGGGCGGCAGCGGGAGGAGCGACTCGAGGACGGCGCGCGTGTTGGTGGCGATGAAGATCGGGTACGAGACGCAGAACAGGAACTGCGAGGCGACGAGGCACGAGTCGACGATGACGTACCCTGCCGCGCCCGCCGCCTGCCGGCCGATCTCCGCAAAGGCGCCCTTGCTCACGCTGCTGAGCCTCTGGCCGCGGAGGACCGCGTCGTGGCACTCGAGCAGCTGGAACATGCCTGCTCGGAGCGCGACAGGGCGGCGGTGGGGAGGCGCTGCCCTTCTGCGAGCCGCTCTTGCTGCAGAGCGGTGCCGGCAGCCGAGAGGACGCCCACGACTGCAAACATCACCGACGCAAAGAGCACGCCCACCTGAGGAGGCATCGGCCGCCGGTGAGGCCGGTCCGTTCCAGGGCGTGTCGGGACGCGGCCGCAGGCGGCGGGGCGGAGCTTGCGCAGGAGGCGGCACCGCGGCGCCTGCTTGTACATGCTCGGCACAAAGAGAAGCATCGGGCCGATCATCGCCTTGAGCAAGGTGAGCATGGCGGTCGTGTTCCCCATCTGGCCCGACGCCTCTCTGTCAACCGACGCGGTGGATCCAACCGACGCCTTGTTTCCTCCGAAGAAGGAGCCAAGCGAGTGCTGGCTCATCATCCCCGCGCCGCCGGTGGCTCTGAGGTGAGCGTGAGTGACGATGTGAGCGTAGACCTCGAGTTCGCCGTCTATGGTCTGACGCATCGAAAAGATCCGCGGGATCAGGCCTCGCCGTCTGCCGGTGGGCAGCGTGTCGTGCGTAGCGGCAAGCGCACCGCCTTTGATATTAGGCTTGATCGCCTCCACCTGGCTCAGCGCTGGCATGCTGACGGCGAGTGTGCTACTCTTCCCGCCCGCAATCAGCGGGCGGTTGAGATCGCTCATGCCGGAGCCGCAAAATAAAATTGGAGCGTGCCGTCGAAGACAGCAATTCGATGTCAGCTTCGGGGCAGCGGTATACCGACATCGGCGATATCACCGCGCCGATGTAGAAAAAGTATTATCCTAACGGTGTGGGGGCGCGGAGGGCTTGTTGGCGAGCCAAAATGGTGTTTTCCGAGGCGCTGCGCTAGGCTCAGAGCGAGTTCGCGCTGCGCTAGGCTCAGACGGCGAGTTCGCGCTGCGCTAGGAGAGAGAGAGAGAGAGAGAGAGAGAGAGAGAGAGAGACAAAAACCGCCAATGGCCGTTATCCGTTAGTGCGGACGTCGCCGCGGCTCGCCTCTGCCGCGGCGGCTGCTGCGCGCACGCGGCGGCGCCGCTCTCTCGCGAGACGGCTGGCGACGCGGCTCGCCGCCGACGTACGGTGCGCTCGTCCGACGGTCCGCAGCGTGGCGTGCGCGGCGCTGAGCGCCGCTCTGCGAGCGCCTCTGCGCCTGCACTGCCTGTCTCTGTTGCTGTTGGTGGTGGTGGTGCTGCTGCTGCTGGTGCCGATGCTGCTGCTGGCGCGGCGCGGCTGTGCGACTGGGCTCGACGCGCGCGTCGCGAGCGTCTGACGCGGCGGGCGGCGTCGGGCAGGTGCGCTTCTCTCTCGGGTGGTGGTGGTGGTGCTGCTGCTGCTGCTGGTGGTGCAGATGCTGCTGCTGGTGCGGCGCGGCTCTCCGACGCGACTCGATGCGCGCGTCGCGGCTATCTGACGCGGCGGGCGGCGTCGCGGGCGGCAGCGGTGGCGGCTCGCGGGTGGAGGTGGAGGCTGGTGGCTGTGGTGGACTTTGAGTTTATTTCATGGTCGTGTACGGGGACCGGGGGGTCAACCGGGAGGCAGGGGGTTCAACCAGGCGACGGAGGACCGTGGGCCATCGCGGGGACCGTTCGCCCGGAGGGCGTACTGGGCTGATCCGGATGGTCTCACCCGGTGGGTGGCACCGAGGCGTCTGGGACGCTCAGCTCTACCTTAAGCTCCTGAGGGGCGCGTGGTGTAACCACGTAGTATGACTACAACCCACCACAGACACCCTCCCCCA